GCTGCATCTAAGAGAACAGTGCGCTCCGATGAAGCTTAGCTGCGCGCCTGTGCTGTATTCGATAAAGCTTTCAGGGTGTGACTTATCTATAAGAATATAGGATATGTCGTTTTTCAAATAGTTTTTCAAAAGCAAAGTCAAGGAAGCTACTGGAAGCTACGTACCCTATGTCGTTGCACGGAAATATAGCAAATTGTCCATATGCTTGCGCAGTTGAATGCCATCAACAGTGGTGACAATAAACCCGTGGTGATATAAGCAATTTGTGCTGAAAAACGTTTATCATTCGGTGTAATCAAATGTATAGGCAAACCTTAGTCGATAATCGATTACCTAGGACTCCAAATTGATCCGATCTAGTGTATTCATGCAGCGCTGGTATACCAAGCACGAATACGGTAAGTGTTAATTGAAGTAAATCGCAAATTGATAGTACGATTAATGCTGGTACGAGTGGATGTGATCGATGTGAGGTGAACACGAGTAAGCAACAAGTGTTCAGGATTATGCCTAAAAACCAAAGAATAAAGACTAAAAACTGAAGATAAAACCAACTTTGGTATCTTTTAGAAATTTTTAAAATAAATGCTGATTAGTTGAAAACTGTAAAAACGCATTAATTTTAAAGTTCCAAACTGACCGACAGCACAAACAGTTGGGAGAATCCAAAGATTTACGATACATATACCCGTACTCCAACCATCTTCCTCATCCCAGCACATGATCCTTTAAAGAGTCAATTATACTAACGAGAGGTAGAGAAGAGTTCAAACGTAGCAAAAAAAAAGCTAAGGAAAAAGCACATTCAAAGAATGACAAAAATGATACGATAAGAAAGAGTGGATGAATCAGATTTAGGGACAAATTTGCAAACTTATATGAAACAACCAAATATGGACTTTTCTGGATTTGTTGCTCAGAGTGCAATCACACTGCAAACACTTTTTTTTACTGCTTGAAAAGAAATGCAGAACTCTAAGTGTTAAATAATGTAGGAAATCTACCACCCATACGGAACAATTGCCTAGCGCTGACGTAAAACTTTACAAATGTCTACGATTACGTAGAAAAGCGAAACTTGAAAAAAAAAACAGCACTTTAGCTGGCAGGTCACTTTAAAAGCTGAATTATCTCTAATCTTCTGCGTTTCAGATTGTTCTTACGGGAAAAACTGGTTAAGGTTGAAATCAAATTTTCGAATTTTGCAGGGTGCAATCAAAAGTAACTAAAGTGAGACTTAGAAATGAGAATTTATTCTAAAATTATTTTCATTGGAAGCAGAAACGAATAGGACAAGGAAATTGTGAGTGATTCACTCGGAAGTGCAGAAGATTGGCAAGTCAAGAGCTGGATTAATATTTTGTTTCAAGCAGGAAGAGA